ATGGAGATTCAGCACTCGTGGCCGTGGCTAGCAGCAGCGCAGTGACGTGACACAACGCAGGCAGCGACACGGCAAATCGGGCGGCAGCGGACTGGCTAGGACAGCGGGCCCGCGGCGACAGCGGCGATGGCAGAGCGGCCAGGCCCGCCAGGCGCGACGTGCGCGTGCGTGCGTGAGTCGCGTGCCAGGGCGCGGCAACGGCGGTGCGGGTGTGTGCGCTTGGGCAAGCCAGTGTTGCGGCACCGAGCCGAACCGAGGCATGGTGACCGCGTCCAGATACTGAAGCCGGTTGGGAACGTGCCTTGCACGCTTTTTAAAGCACCCCAAAAATCCAACTCGATGCTTCAATTGCTAAACCACCTATTTTACACTCGAGATGGCATGTTAGGCTACTAAAACAAGCCCTAAGACCATACCGCTACTTAATCCAATTCTTCTACAAAAATTGCTGAACTTAGCTTCGTCAAAGCGTTTTCCGACTTAAGAAATTTGACTAAGTCTTGATCGTTTTCGCGTCAAATTCGATTTCCAAGCTATTAAGTATGCTAGCTAGTGAATCTCGTTCTCGGCCGCAAGTATTTCACCGCCACCTACGAAGCTTATACTACAAACTTTATTAAAGTACCGTATATGCATTCTATAGTATTTTCGTTCAATAAAAATTCGTTTAAAACCCTAAGTGATATAACGTGACATTGAATGCATCTTTCGTTTCGTGTTTTCGATGATCGTTTCAAGTTATGTACATTGCTTTACACCCTATATTATACATATTTACACATAAATATGATGATCATGCAGTGTTTTAGCAAAAGACTATACAGTGTAACACCGAGGGTGTTACAATGGCCGACTTGGCGGCGCATGCCTCTCTGTAGTGTACCTTGTGCTGGCGCTTGGAGTGGATAGTGTCGAATCCCCCAAAGAGCATGAGGCATTCCTCAGGGTCGGGGAAGCCGTCTTCATCCTTGCCCACCACGCCTCCTTTCTTGGCTGCCTCCTCCTTGCCTTTCCCTTCCTTTGGCTTGGTGGCTTGCGGTAGGAAGCGCTTGAGGAGATCACGGTCCTTGTAGAGATGTTTGACGGGATAGGCATACTTGGTGCATGGATTCTCCATGAGCTTGTCGAAGTGGTCGGGCTGGCCCTGTTGGGGCTGCTTGCCTGATCGGTCGGCCGCAGCGACCAAAGTTGGGTTAGCCGGTCAACGCCGGTCCTTCTTGTTCTTCTTGCCCTTTTGTGTGGAGGGGCACTCGCCTTGGTTCTCGTGCTCGGCCTTGCCCCTACCCCAACCTCCGCTAAAGACCGCCCCGACTGCCTCCTTTGGTTCATGGTGATGTCGAGCAGGTCGCAGGTGGTACGGGGCTTCACACAGCTGAGCTTGTGGATCAAGGACCTACAGGTTATCCCAAAAAGGAATGCGCTGATGACGTACGCATCGACGACATCAAGAAGGAAGTTGCACTGCTTTGAGAACCTACAGATGTAACCTTGTAGGGACTCGTTGGGGTCCTGCTGGCAGCTCTTGAGGTCCCAAGAATTCCCAGGACGGACATAAGTCCCCTAAAAATTTCTGACGAAGACCCTCTTGAGATCTGCCTAGTCGCGGATGCTATCGGGCGGAAGGAATTCGGGCCATGCTCGAACATGCTCCCCCACGCAGATGGGGAGGTACTGGATGATGAAGTAGTCATCATCGACTCCTCTAGCTCGGTAGGCGAGCCAAAAGTCTTCGAGCCATATACCGGGGTTCGTCTCCCCGATGTACCTGGCGATGTTGGTGAGCGATCAGAAGCGATGTGGGAACGACACTTTCTAGATGTGACGACCAAAGGCCCATGGCCCTAGGCCATCCGGGCTAGGGCTCCTATCGTTTGGTCGGCCACCATGCTTGGGGTGCGTGTCCTCGCACTCCTCGATGGTCAGGCCAGAGCCCACGCCGCCTGCTCTCAACGCCATTCGATGGGCGTTACCATCATGCCAGGCGTGGCGTCGATTGTTGATGACGCTACGAGCATCATGGTTTGGCCCGAGCCATTCACGCACATGTGGTCGGTGTGGAGCGGGCGCCGGGTCAGGCTACGGTGCAGCCCTGGCTTCCTGCTCCACGCTCGGCAACTGCTGTGGTGACTGGACGGAGCGATTCGACTGGTCTGGCCCTAGTCCCCCGGTTGGGCAAGGGGCCACGAGCCGATGTCACGACATGGAGCTCTCCACCTACTGAACGGCGGCGTTCTCCACCAGCGCCCGAAGGTTCCGATGGATTGCCCGTTCCAGGGGGTCGGCAGGCTCGGGGAGGCCGCGCAGAAGCATTGTTGTAGCAGCGATGTTCTGGCCAGCCCGAGCAAACTAAGGGGGGTCGTCCCCTCCATCCAGTATGTTACGCTGGACCTGACAGGCATGACCCTGAGCGTCGCTCGCCAGGTTACGCGCATGTGGCAGAGCGTGATGCGCCGGGCGCTCCGGCGTAGGCGGGGGCTAGCTCTGCACCCTTTGCCGTAACTTCTCGCCGTGCTGCTATGCACGTGCCAAGGCCTACGCGCGGGGGTCTAGAGGGGTGTGAGTCTGCAGAGACTCCACTACCTCCGGTGGCTGTCCCGGGACGTCCACCATAGCGCACTCCCGGGATAGAGGGTGGCCAGGTGCCATGACATAGCCGATGTTGGAGCCATCGCTTTCAACCTCATCATCGACGAGGTCATGGAAGGAGGTGGGAGCGTAGCCCGCCATCCCCACGAACTCGAATGTGAGAGGGGGCGACGTCAGCATCCTTTGAAGTGCCCGCGCGCACGCGTCCACAGGGGACGCAAAGCCGTAGGGGAATCGGTCGCACAGCGGTCACGGTGGGGACAACGGGGTCCCTCCGGAGAGTTGGCGGAAGGTGTTAAATAGTGAGTAAAGAACAAAATGTACATCACTCACCGTGGGGTTTGAGCCCAGTATGGGCTGGAGGTGAAGCGCGGGTGTCTCGATGTTGAGGTCGTCGAGTGGCCCGGGGCCGATGGAGGGTGCTCCTCCTCCAGTGGGCGCCGGGACAAGAGCTTCCTTGCGGAGGCGGAGTACGTCGAGCTGGTTGGGGACAAAGTCCAGACTCTCGAAGAGGAAGGTCTGGAGTGGCACGAAGACGAGAGGAGCCCACATCCCAGCAAGTGGGAGCATGGGAAACTCCAGCGAGCCGAAGCGAATTGTATCGCTCGAGCCCGCCATGCCGAAGATGTTGAAAGGTGGGCCATCCGATGATCAAAAGCGTGAACGCACGACGTCCTCCCCACGGACGGCGCCAACTGTCAGTGCGAAATGTGGCCAACAAGTAAATATTTGTAGTTTTGTCGTGCGTTGTGATCGGATGTGGCCTAGCACTCAATGACACAGGATTTATACTGGTTTAGGCAACAGGCTCTACGTCCAGTTGAGGTCGGTCGGTGACTTTATTCCTGAGCCTAGGTGCTCGAAGTTTGCTGTGGGGTTACAAACGAGTAAGGAATGAGAAGGGGTGTTAGAGGCCCGGTCGGACTCTGAGCTGAGTGGTAGAGTGACAGATGCTCAAATGTGCGCTAAGTATCGGAGCGTATGCTCTGTGTATCCGAGCTTATCAGCTGTTGAGAGTGTGTAGACTGTATAGCTGTCGAGCTCTAGAGCCGTTGTGCTATTGTCCTCGAGTCCTCGAGTCTTCGGGGCTTCGGGGGGTTCCAAGCTCCTGTCCTTTTGGTAGGAGAGAGTGCATCCCCTTTTATAGTTGAAGGGGATGACCTTACAAGTCAGAGAGAAAGGGAGAGTTCATACGGCCGCTGCCTAGTCTTGTTGCCCACGTCATTGGGTACAGGATGGCCGTCGGCGCCCATAATACTATTTATGTTCAGACGCGTCTGGCAGGCTCTACCATGTTCACCTGGTACCGCAAACGACGGCGCCCACAATACTATTTATGCTCTGACGCGTCTGGTAGGCTCTACCGTGTTCGTCTGACATGCCCCGATGGCACCGTCCTGTATGTGCGCAGGGCATGGCAGGGTATGGTCCTCGGTATTTCGGTTGACTTGAGCGCCTTACCTTATCTGCTCCGCCTGCTCCCCGGGCCCGCACCGAGCGGGCATCCCCGGTCAGTCGTTCCCAGTCGGCCCCGACCGTGTCGGTCGGGAAAGAGCAGCGAGCAGAGGTCCGGTGTATTCTCGGTCGGAGAAAGGAGATCGGGAACCGGATTGTTATCTTGGCCTGTCATTATTTATCTGAGCCGGCCCAGGCGCGTGCTGTCGCTGCACCGCCTGCCGGGCTGGGTTTTGTAGGGAAGCGGGTCCATTGGGAACCCCGGGTTTATGAAGCCGACAGTATGTCTATAAACTTTTCACTAAATGAAGAGAATTTTGCAAAGTGCAGGGTCCTGCTTTATAAAAACATCAGAATAGTTGAGGGGAATGAGAATAGCTGACCTACATTACCCTCTCCTGTCTTTGGGCACCAGGCTGCTGAATGAGTTACTGTTAAGATGGTTTGAATGGTCGACAAAGATATGCTATGATTAAATTCTGTCTATGAGCTATCATGGACAATGGGGGCATTGAGATTCTATACTTGAGTTCTCTGCATTGCAAATGAATAAATGTTATATTCAGGTCAACATCTGCCTTAGCTCTGTCATTCCCAGGTCGGACCCGTTTGTCCACAGCCCAAGGAGAAACTTCTTAGAGGAAATACTTTGATTATGGTTGGACATGTTTAAGAAACTGCCGTCCATACAATGGCAGTACAGTCAGCTTCCGGATTAAACATCCATTTCGTTTTCCTTTACACATACACTCGTTTTATAAAGAACTTTTATTTGGACTCATAATCACAGGATAACAAACAATGGGATGAATCCCCGTGTTGTTTATATACATGTACAAAACAATATCCAATACGTATTTAAAAAAGGAGCAAACTTGTTGAACCAACAAATCAACAGACCTAGTCTACAAACCCAACACAAGTTATGTACGACGCCGACCATGCATTGGTGGCGTAATCTAGCTCCTCTTGGAGATTTTAGGAGCAGCACAGTACACTCGTCTCCCTGCTTCGGCAGCATCCTTGATTCCCTGAAGCTGATTAGCTATGTCCTCTAAGAGTTGCAACTGTAATGACTGCCTCCTTTCATTTGCTGCATGCCTTATCTTGTCCTGTGCACCTTTAATGGCATTCAGACTTTTCCCAAGGAGATCATCTGCAGCAGCTCGAGTCTGTAATCTCTCTGCTTGCATTGTTGCCTCTGAGATGCTTCGGCCAATCAGGCCCTTGACTTCTGTTGAGAAGCGTATGTCATCGACCACATGCACATCATAGACATTGGCATCATTCTTACTTCCTGTCTGGTCATTGACAATCTTGTCTATACCCGGACAATCGACTTCCTGAAATGCATGAGCTGCCTGTTCCTTGGTACAAGTATCCTTGGTACAGGTAGATTCCATACCTGGTGCAGCATCAACATGGAAAATGCCACCTTGATCCAAATCTTGGCTCCGGGCGGACAGGGGGAGGATTTCCACTGTCTCTGCTCCATCATCCTCATCATCGTCCTCATCCTCATCCTCATCCTCATCCTCAAAGCTATCTAGCTTCAGCCTTGATTGAGGCGTGGGAACTTTGGCCGGCGTCTGAACAGAAACACTATCATCGCTTCCCACATTGATTCGACCGGCAGCAAGAGGCGGCACCATTGGTTGCTCACGCAGTGATGGCGTCTTGAAGCTGAACCCAGAAGAATCATTCCCAAAATGTTGCATCCGATTCGCATCGACCGATTTGGACGAGCTGGGCTCTCCTTCGGACATGAGGAAACTATGCGGCGTGACCATCTCCTGCTCGTCATCCTCCTCCTCGTCATCCTCGGCAGCGCCAAGCCCGAGCAGGCGTCGGTAGGCGTCCACCTCCTTGCGCAGCGCGCGCGCCTCGCGCTCCCGCACGAGCACGATGTCCCGGAGCTCCTCGACCTCGTCCTCGTAGAAGGCACAGCGCTCGTCAGCGGTGCGGCGCTGCTGTCGCGCCTCGATCTCGAGCGCCGACTTCTCCTTCTGCAGGCGCAGGATCATGGACATGGCCTCCTCGGTCGCCGACGCCGAGGCGCTGCGCTCTTTCTCGAGCTCCCGCTGCAGCTCGGCGCGCGCCTCCTCGCGGCGACAAAGATCCGCTTCCTCCTTCCACGCGTCGACAGCCGCCTGCTCCTCCCCCTCTTCCTCCGCCCCCTCCTGACGGTGGTCCTCGCCATCGGTGGGGCCGGCGAAGGGGAAGCGGGCGCGTAGGGCGGCGTGGAGGGACCCGACGGCGCAGGATGGGTAGCACGCCAGGAAGGCGAGGAGACAGGGCAGGTGCGGGCGCGCGCAGGTGCAGGGGAGCGGGAGGCCGAGCAACGAGAGGAGGCGCGCGGCGACGGCGGCGAGCGCGGCGAGGCAGAGGCAGGCCCAGGCGAGCGTGAGGTCGAGAAACGCCCCCGCCAGGGAGCGCGCCGTCCAGTGGGCGCGCACGGCCGCGTCGCCCGGGCACGGCGTCGTCATCGCATACTTGCAATCACAAGCTGAATCTCGCTGGATTATTCCTATTCCGGTGGCCGGTGGTGCGAGGGGAGGAGACGTGCGGTGCGGGGGATCTGAAGGAAAGCGGTGGGATTGTTTTCTTCTTTTGTTTTTTTCTCTTTTTCTCATGAATTGGGAGAGGACAGAGGCGGCACGTCTGCGTGCCTCGGTGGCTCGGAATACAGTGTTTTGTAGATTTTCTCTATCAATTTTTTTCTCTCTACTCGCACAGTAGGTCCGTACGACACACACATGCAATACAACTATTTCAAATACAATAAAAATATTAATTAAATTCTTAATATATCAATTCATATATATCATCAATAATTTCTTTAAATACAAAAATACGATAATGAATTATTCATTGGATCTATAGAACATTAAAGATATGTTTAAAAAAAAAAAGAGTTGCTTTAGATACTGAGACATATTGTACGTTCATGCAGACGAGTTTAACAATAATATTCTGATCCAGACACATAAGTCAGGATTGTATTATCCAGATCTTGAACTGGTTGCTATATCCAGGGCCACTGGCTTATTGGACCATAGTAATAATAATAATAACAAGGCTGATACGCCACTATTTCAGAATTTGTTTGAACCGTACAGCTCAAGCAACAAAAAAGAAATATAGTATCTTTCAAAATCCTCAGAATATCTTCCAACTAGCCCAATAGGAACATCAAAGAGACTATGATACCAGAACAACAAAACCTTATTCTCCCAAGCAAACAAAGGCTGACTACATTCAGTGCACTGAAGTCATGTTTAAGGCATATATAATATAAAATTGCCACTCTTTTACACCTAAAAGTACATACAGTGGGTACAACATCAAACAAATCATAGAGGCTTTAGTGCTAAAGTGTTGTAATTACTAATCCAATCCATCTGTACTGAAGGGGCAGAGCTCCTATCATCCATTCCAAAAAATTAGACGTTACTGAAAAGACTTGTGGTACCTATTGTCTTCAAGACACTTAAATATGCTCTTTTGTTTCTCCACTGTTAAAAAGTAGGTTACTGGGCTTGTGCAATAAGCTCAGCAAGAGGCAGCTGTCAGAAAATAGAATGCAGGTGCATGCTAGTTGCTAGCTTAGGTAGCCAGACACATGGTTATTTCTCTTCATTGTCTGAATCAGACTCTGCAAAAACAGGTTTCGGCTGGGTTTGAGAATAAGCTGGCGCAATAAACTTTGGGTCTTTCTCTGCAGCATCAGCATACTTCAAAATCGCTTCTCTTGGATCTTCATTCATCCAGGTCTCCTTAATTAAACCACCTTCCTGTAACATGCAGAAAGGGGGCAAATATATGGGGTAAGTAATCAGTTGACCCCAAATGGTATCAGTGGGACATGCAGAAAACCTAAAACAACCCCAATTACAACATATATACATACAAAACACATGGAGATATTAAGTATGTGCACTACCTTCAAGAGGTACTGTGTCAGCAAACTGCCTTTTGTAGTACCCACTCTTCCACCATAACCTGGACCATTAACAGGTGCTTCTGGCTTGTGTGATTTGAGCGGGTCTTTCAGTATCTTCTCTCTTTGACGTTTACGACTTGGTTGATCTCTGAAAAGTGGCAATGCATGTGGATTGTGTATGACAGGTTGCACCTCAAAATCATCAACAGACTTTTTCCTTGGTGCTCGTCCAACACATACAAGAGCTCCCCTTTGACTAATAGAAGGATCATACAGGATATGAGTCCCGCCTTCTTTCTTGTCTCCAACTGTTGCAAACACCTAAAGGTAAAACAAAGAAGTTCAATAATATCCTTTAAAATGGCAGTGCTCATTTCTTGAAATTCATTAGTAAGAGAAAAAAAAAAACCTGGTTGATTCTTGGATGCCAGAGGCACCTTATCACACTGTACTGTGGTGAAATTCCCACCCTTGATACAAGCTCAAGTTTCTTTCTATCAAAGAAACAAAGTAATCCCCCATTGTCACCATCTTTTTCAATAGAAGTTCCTGTAAAAATAAGCTGCTCATCTGAGCTAAAGGCTGCATTTGTCTCAGCATAGTGATTTGGCAGATCTTCAAATACTTTCAAAGGAGTTTTCATTCTTCTCAAATCCCATATCTGCATTCACCAATGCAACATCCCAATTAGATACCTTGGAATAATAAGAAAAAAAAGGAAATGCATACAACCTGACACTGACAATACAGGGACTAGCACAACCAGTGTTATTGGCTTATTGCGTAGATCTAGTGTGAATCTAATATCTTACTTTGAAGTTTGAACTAGCATAGAGTCGATTTGTACAGTCTGGTTGTATGTATAGCAGGGTTCTAAACAAGGAAGAACACATCAATGCCACATTACTATAAATCACATATTTGCATAGCTACAGTACAACAGAACAGCCCAAAAATATCTAACACGACCAGTCAATCCACAAAGTTGCAAGTTCAATAATAGCCATAAATATGTGACCTCCCCTCACATCCATAAGGACATAATCAAGTTGAAAAGTTAATCTAAAGTTTTGAAATTTGTAATCCTCAAAGCTCAGGTAAATTACCTTAAGAGTACTATCCATACTTCTTGACAGAAGAATCTGTCCATCTGTTGAAAACTTAACCCCAGTAATATCCTCTGTGTGTGTTTTCTCAACATGGATATCTGGTCTGCTACCCCATCCAGCTTTTATGGTCCAGACCTATGAGGGATACAGTATGCAGGTCAGTGAGCATTACAAGAAACAATTTGACTGAGTATAAAGTGATAAAGGAACACAAGAATTCTACATAAAATATATACCTGTATAGAACCATCTCCTATGCCACCCACAATTCGTTTTCCTTCATGGTCCCATGCACATGATGTAACAGGAATCCGCATTGGTCTTACCAGCTTAGGTTTGATGACCTATTCATAAAGTAATTAACAGATTCAGCCAGCCACAGTTCAAATGATGAAAATTTTGATTATTTGAAATAGCAAATGAAGAATTCCGAGGTACTAAAATGAACCAATAACAGTGCCTTCCAAGGTCTCCTGATATTATTTTAGAAAAACAATTTGTTAATGTCTGGCAAATAGAAATAATAGATCAAAATACCTGCTTCTGACTTTTAAAGTCAGACACATCCCAGAGACGTATGGAGCCATCTTCAGATGATGTCAGAATGGTCTCTTTTGACTTTGGATTCCACTCACCACCTGTAAGCCCAGAGATGTGACCTTTTGTATTCTTCAGATCACGAATATACATATCACCCTTAACAAACTCGCCTAGCGTAAGCCCATCCCTGTCATAAATCTGATGTAAAGCATACTTGTCAATAACAAGTTTTCAGCTCTACTGGTGAAGTATTGGGAAATACGAAAGGTTACAAGAGAAGAATACCTTGGCCTGAGCTGAACCAGTAACACATAAGAATCGATCAGACGTTGGACTCCAACTTAGGCTACGAACTTGATGGCCCTCAAAGGGTTCCAATTGTCTGAATGACTGAAGCTTTGAATTCATACCCTGGAAGTCGTACATACGCACTGTATAATCATAGCTACCAGAGAGCACTCTGGATCCTGTATGGTCAACAGCAAGGGCAGAGACAACCTGGCAGAAATAGTATTATTATTAACCAGTAAAATACATGTATTAGAAACTGTAGCATTACGATTTGAATGACTAGCAAGTTAGCAATCTCATGAAATCTGTTTCTCGAACTATACCATTGACTAGCCTGTGAGCTATCAATTCCAATTAGAACACCACAATTGACATCTTGCTGAACTTTTCATAAGCATTGAATGTTCAAAAACCAGCTTTACCATCAATCACACTAATTCTAAAATCTAATTCAAGATAAAACAAAAGCTGATATTCATTTGCAATTTCATTATATGTTTCAAACAGGTTTTAACAATCGAACCTACCAGTAATCCATCTACCTTCTCTGGGGAGTATCCTAATACTAAAAATAAAACCGTCACCAGCTAACAGCATGGGAACTTTGGTCTTTTTTTTCTTTCTAAAACCAACTAATTCAGCTAAATTGTCTCAGAAAAAGAACAATTCGTCCAAATGGCGCCTAAAGCAATCAAGCCAAGCTAGATAGAAGGCCACATCAGTATAACAAAACCAAATGAAGGAGGAGAGCTGGAGCTCGTTGCTCGTACCTTAGTGTGCCCCCGCAGAACAATTTCGTTGCTGAGAGGGATCCGATTGAATCCACCATCGCCATCATCCTCCATCTCCTCCTCCTCGTCCTCACCGTCATCGTCATCGACGTCTTCATCATCCGCTGGCGGCGGCCTAGGCGGCCCAATCATGCCGTCGCCATCGTCGTCGTCCCCCTCGCCGCGAGCTGAGGGCGGCGGTGGCCGAGGCGGCCCGATCATGACACCGCCGCCTTCCTCGTCGTCGTCCTCCCCCGCGGACGCCGGCGGCGGCCGAGGGGGACCAATCATAGCGGCTGAATCGTCGTCCGCGGCGGTAGAGGCGGAGGACTTGGGGTTACTAGGGTTTTGAGGCTTGCGAAGGGTGGAGGAGTGGGCGGAGGAGGCCGCAGAACCGGGCCGAGCGGGCGCCTTGCCGAAAGAGAGCGGGAAGAAGGCCCGCATAGCCTCCTCGTCCATCTCGGCCCCGTCAGCCATGGGCACACGCTCGCCGCCGGCGAGGTCAGGTCGTGAATGCGTGTGCGCTGCGCGAGGTTGCCAGCTCAGGAGAGATACGGGTTCTTGTCTTGCAAAGCCGGTTGAGCGAGTCGGTACCTGCACAAAGGTTTCAACATGCTCTTGCTCGTTAAGACCTGTTTGCTGTGGGAACTGTTTTCTATTTTCTATAGGATAATAATTCTATAAAGAAAATGTTCATGTCCGAGAAATAAATCAATTATTATTTTAGACTTTATATGTTTTCATCCATGTTTTAATGCCACCGCTTCCCACTGTCACACTAATATGTCTTCATCCATGTTTTAACGATAATTCTTGGTATATATATATATAGAGAGAGAGAGCGTCAATCTGCGCCGGAATTATGGGCCGTCCGCGCCAGCCCAACTACCGCCTAAAAAAAAGGTTGAAGCAGTGGCCGGTGTGGTCTTATCTTTTCGAGCAAGCTAGCCTCATCTATCATTCACCGAGCCAGGAGACGAGCGAGATTCTGCTAAAAAATGAGGTGGGTGAGATGCTGACCCAACTCATCGGAGCAGCTGTTGTGGCGAATCGAAGATTCAGTGGCGGTGGCGTGGGGTCAGCAATGCAGTCGCATAGGCAACGACATCCATCTCGCGCACGGCAGCGCATCTTCGTTCCCCAGCACCGCAGGACGTCAGCGAACCACTGCGCTTCCCGCGTCCGGCTGCCGGCTGTCGACGTGCAAACAAGGTGACAGCAGCTCCGAGCCCACGCGCGTGGGAGGACACGGTGGCTCCGGAGGCCCGCGTGCGAGCGGCGTGGGAGACAAGCATGACGACAGAGACCCGTGCCGCCGTGCGGGAGGGAGGCGAGGGTGGCTATGGCGTGCAAGTTGTAATCTACCGCGGCCTTCTAGAGTGCGTGGACCCATCGTAGCCTTCTCCACCGATCCTGTCACGGCCTTCTCACCGGAGCGGTGTGAAAGCTCTAGTTTGGTTTTGGTAAATTGATGAAACCCTAAGTGCTAACCTAGTTCATCAAGTGATCATGAGATAGGTAGCACACTTCAAGTAGAGAAGCAAATGAAGATCATAACATGACAATGGTGATAGCATGGAGATGATCAAGGGCTTAAACTTGAAGAGAAGAAAGAGAAAAACAAAAAGCTCAAGGCAAAGGTATAACTTGTAGGAGCTATTTTTTTTGGTGATCAAGACACTTAGAGAGTGTGATCACATTTAGGGTTGATAGCCGTACTATTAAGAGGGGTGAAACTCGTATCGGAATGCGGTTATCAAAGTGCTACTAGATGCTCTAACTCATTGCATATGCATTTAGGATCTAGTGGAGTGCTAACACCCTTGATAATATTTGTGTAAATATGCTACCACATGTGCACAAGGTGTTTGTAGGGTTGAGATGGGTTTGGGTCCCTCTCTCCCTCCCGCCGAGCTTATGAGCGGGATTCGGGCGCTTTCGGAAAATGAAATGTCTATTTTCTATTACCGGATGTAAAATTCTTGGTGGTTGGCACACTTGAGCAAGGGTGAAGAAGTAAGAGTTGAAATGGAGTTGATCGAAATGATGTGGCGGCCGGTCTCATCGACCGGATATTTGGGTCACTCAATGACCGGACGCTGAAAGGTCTGCGTCCGGTCGATTTGTCGAGGCAACACACGATGGCTAAGGTTGAGCACCGGACGCCGGTCTCGTGTCCGGTCAAGGTGGACCGACGCGTCCGTCGAAAAAACATGCCTCGTGGAGCTTATCGAAACGCATCGGATGCTCGGGGGACGGAGCGTCCGGTCCGTTTTACCGAGCGTCCGATCAATTTCTATCGAGCGTCCGATCAAACATGCACCGTTGAAATCGACGAACGGCGTTTGAAGTGGTGACGCGTGGCGTCCATCGGGCGACCGGACGCTGAGGGCCAGTGTCCGGTCAGAGCGCGTTTTGCCCAGTGAAGGGGTATAACGACTCTATTTGATTGTGGCTCTATTTATAGCCCCATGGCCGGCTCAAGGGAGCTCTCTTGCACATTTTCATTGACATAGCAACCTTGTGAGCCTAGCCAAAGTTCTCCCACTCATTTCCATCATAGATTAAACATCTTTGTGAGATTGGGAGAGAATCCAAGTGCATTGCTTGAGTGGTTGTATCTAGAGGCACTTGGTAATTGTGTTTTCGCTGTGGATTTCGCTTGTTACTCTTGGTGGTTGCCGCCACCTAGACGGCTTGGAGCAGCAAGGATCGTTGAGTGGAGGAGGTGATTGTCTCCGACTCCGATCGTGGTGATTGTGAGGGGTTCTTGACCTTTCCCCGGCGGAGCGCCAAAATGTACTCTAGTAAATTGCTTGTGGCTTGTGTGATCCTCATCTTGTGTTGGTTGTGCGGCACCCTATTGAGGGTTTGGCGAGTGTGGCAGAACCACCCGAAATAGCATACTTACGAAGGCGCTTGTCTTCCATCAGACACTAAGCACCTCGAAAGTAACTACAGCGAGCGGTGTCCGTCAAGCACACCCCAAGGGAGAACCCGAAAGATCCACATTTTTCCCAAGGATCCAATAATGAAAATGAGTTACAACACAAGTCTATCTTATACATTAGAGTTTCTTGAAAAGTACATTATTACAATACCAAATATAGAGTGCGGAATGATAAATAGTTGAATATTAAAAGATAACATCTAGCGATAAGATAACGAGGATTTCGTCTGAGCCCACCAGATGGATCCTCCACACAAGGAACTCCTCAAGCGTCACCTGCAACAGGGGTAAATAAACCCTGAGTACACAATGTACTCGCAAGACTTATCCGACAGTGGGAATACTTTCCCAACTCCAAAGAATATGCTAGGCTTTATGGTTTGCTGGTTCTCTTTTAGCAAAAAGCAATACTAATAGTGAGTCTTTATTGATACATTATTATCATCAGCCGTATTAAGTTTTCATCTAGTCAATCTATATAAGCATGTTCTACTTTCAAGCAAGAGTTGAGCAATCAGTTCCATTTCTTCTCCTTTCAACTTTCAGTTCTTACTACGGTGCTAAAACATGAGACAAGCCGTGCATAGGATAACCCGGCGATTCGCGAATCAATGTGCCTAGTGGGTACTGAAAACTGCGCCCGCTTGTACCCCAGGCACAAGCAGGACTAACCCACCACTCTCCTATCCCGGGTTTCCAGGTCCCCGTCCAAACTTGGACTCCAAGCCCCCACGTCCTGAGTCCCGGACTCAGTGCGGTGCAAGGACCTCCACCACCTCCTCTTCCCATCAGTTGGTCCGGAAAGAGCCGGATCCACGACAAGAGAGCAGCAAGCCTTCCTTGCGCCCATACCCAAGTATGTGCTCGGGACAATAATCTGTGACTTGCCTAGAGTCATATGCAACGCACAGTCCTTAATCGACACAAAGGGGAAAAAGTGTAATCGGGCTATGCCACATTGGCCGCAGGAGACACAACCCTCACACCCACCAGTACCAAATCCACATCCTGTCCGGTCACCATTTTCCTTTCCATTATTTCATCATGATATCACAGTTTAAACACCTATTTGCGAGTAACGACGGGTTACTCACGCCACCGACATCCCCGAGCATATGACTACTCGACCTATACTACTAGGACTCATGGTGGATATATTTATGCATGTAGCTTCCATAAAATGCCGGTAACGTAAATGCATATCATATAAATATATTCAGATCATTTAAAAATAGGGGTTATGCACCGGGGCTTGCCTTGGGCAAAAAGTGTGTCAAGAAAGTCAAATGACGGGTGGCTCTTTAACGTCCTCCTACACGAGGATCTCCTCGTACTCTTCGATGACTTCGTCGTACTCACCTTTCGCCGAATGTCACGATCTCCAATGGTTTCGTCCTCTATATGCATGCAGTGATGATGATGCAATAATTAATATATAGGCAACCGCAACTCTTAAAATAAGAATACATCTACCAAGCTACTAAGCTAACTCTAATGACTAATACACAAAGTTACCTATTATTCCCACTAAACAAGTATGAAACATTTCATGTATTATCTTAGCAACTAAAGGCATCCTTATTGTTAATATCAATTTACTATATATATAATAAAACAAGGTGCACTAGCTACCATGCATCATAAAAAATTCATTCTCTAAATAACCATAATAAGCATTTCAAAATAATAAAGTAACCCTAAAGGTATCACTGAACTATACGAACTAATTACACTAACAGATAGATCATGAATTTAGGAATCTAACAAAATTTATTTCACAATCAATAAATAAATTCAAATGAGCTCTAGAGATGAAGAAAACGATATTATTGGAGGAGGCCAATTAGCTTGATTAACCAACTGATCTATTCGCACCTTTGCTTGTTCTTGGAAAAGGTAGAACACGAAGCGGTGAATCGGATGTGAGATGCTGGTTACTTGATTTGAGAGAAGTGAATGATCATGGGAGCGAAAATTTCGATGGCTCGGCATGTCCTTATAAAGGCAAAAGACGCGGGGAGGGAGAAGCTGGCTCGTTGCTTGCGGTCACTTGTCGATCATGCTCGCATCGCTACCGTACGACAATGGATGCGTGTGGAAATGTGAAGCGTTGTTTTGTCACCTAACAAGTCAAAGCAGAGCCAAAGTGCCTTGAGGCTTCCGACAAACGTGTGACACGGTTCAGCTATAGTGTACGAGTATAGTCTAAGTCTTTGGATCAAGACTAGGGAATGGGCCACGAGAGTGAAGTCGAGTAGATGAGCCATGTCTCCAAGCCGGAGATGAGCCTTTCTGCTGCAATGCCGTCTTGTGCGGTGTTCCTTCAAGTCGTTGATTATCTTTCTCCGCAGTGGAAAAAGAGAGTCTAGTGTCCTAGTCCTTGTCTCCTTGACTAACCGAAAACTTGACTTGCTTTATGACTAGTAGAACTATCCCGATCTTTTTTGAACATGAACGGCTTTACTCGATCCAATGATTTCAACCATTCATAGGTATGATGTGGATCCGATCACAATATCGTGGCTCA